ACATTGATCTGCTGCTTCATTGTATTATTAGTAGCTTTTTGAAAACAGCATGGTGTTAAGCTGATGTATGATCTCCTACTCGTGTTTTTAGTTAGTTGTGGGTCTTTTTTCTTTATTCCCTAGATGTAGTTCCCTTTCCTATATTTTCTGTTGTAGTTTTGTAGTCTGAAAATCCCCCCCAATAAAAACCTCCCCCCGGGGCAAAAAACCCCCCCAAAAAAAACCCCCCCCCCGGGGGGGGGGGGATAGAAATGTGGATAATAAATAAATAAATAAATAAAAACAACAACTGTGGTTTAGCCTTTATTTATTGTTAAGTTGTCAAGAGGTAGGTAATGAGGGAGTCTGTGTGATTTTGACATCATGGATAAAGAATTGCATTTTCTGTTTACTGAATTACAAAGAGGAATAAAATCTAGTTCATATAGAAATGTGAATTAGGCGTGCACAAAAAACCCACCGGTATTTTTTGGGTCTGGGTATACTGAACCTCCAAAATATCAGTATTTCCTGATATTTCCGAATCCCAATACTGGTATGGTATTTGGATATGGGAAATATTTGGGAAACCTGGGGGTACCTGGGGCTATAGAGGGCTGTTTTTTTGAGGTAGAGGCACCAAATATGCAGCATAGCTGCTGGTGCCTCTTCTCAACCCCCCCAAAAGTTTAAAAAAGATTGGACCGGGGGTCCAATTCTATGAGCCTCCAAAGAAGCTGGCTCCATCCTCCATTGATTTCAATGAAGGGGGGAAAGGCATTTAAAGGGATTGCAGTCCCTTTAAATGCCTTCTCCAAGCCACATGACTCTGTGGCTTGGAGAACTGCAAAGGCCTTTAAAAGGCTCACAGTCCCTTTAAATACCATTGGAGTCCACTTGCCAAGGAGTCGTGTGGCTTGGAGAAGGCATTTAAAGGGATTACAATCCCCTTATCTATCCAGTGGTTCCAAAAATCCTGAATATTTTTGGGATTTTCAGGGCTTGACCATTTTGGACAGACGAATGATATCCAAAATCTATATCCTGCTGAATATGTTATTTTCCGGATTTTCTGTTTTTGCTTGGATTTAGCCAAACGCACACCCCTAATGTGAAGTATAGTTATGGATCAAAAGTTACTGAATGTAACTGACTGTGAACAATGAATTGAAATAACCCACTACCTTCGGACCAGCCACTGAATGCAGTTAAGTTACTAGAAATGTTTAGTTTTGATGTATTCTACACCTTGTATCCTTTGAACCAATTTTTAATCTGTTTGCAGCTATGTAATCCTAATCAGATGGTGCTTTGCTCAATTTTTAACTGTAAAGGATTGCTTTACAGCCAATCAGTGATCACACAGTGAATGTGATGACATTATTATGACAGATACCCAGTCAGATTTGGGTATATAATAATATTAGATCACTTTGAATAGGGAAAAGAGGAAATCCCTCATGGGGAATGTGACCTCATATCTGGCTATACTGTATTCATGGTCTTAACGCATGCCAGTGCTGCTCAGTGATACCTGTAATCAATTCCAACACTAGTGATGTGTAGCATATAAACTGCTTAAGAATGTAGGCACAAGTGAATGTGGATCTGATAATAACCCTATATTTTACACAGAATATTCCACTAAATATAACTGGATCCAGGTAGGGGATCCTTGGCCTGCTTTCCTTGACAATAGAGACACATTTCCTTGACACCTACTGTTTGCAAACAGTTCCATGTCTTCTGTACAAGGGAGAAAGGAACAAAATCACCAAAATGGGAAGCAAAATTTGTGGGAACAGAAAGTGTTTGGCAATTGCATGCCCCTGATTTTGGCTCAGCACTGATTGTAATACCGGTAAATCACCGCATTTTACAAGGTCAAGCTAGGGAACTTTGTAAAACTGTTAACCAATATGTCAAACAAATTCGAGCCATTTATAGAGTGTCTCTATAAGGTACAATTTAAAATACAACATTTAAAATTCATCAAACCAACTGGACACAAGAAGGCAAGCCATAAAACCACAGATGTTGGACTTCTGGTTGATGGCGGCACGAACATGGACTCACCTCCCGGGTGTCCCGGGGGTGTTTCCGTGCTCCAGCGGACGGAGGGGGTGAGCAGGCTCAAAAGCCCCCCCCAGGAGCCGGGGGAGGGCCCCTGGCCAAGGAGCTTGGAGGGGGTAGCCTCTCCAGCCCGCAGATGAATCCTCCAGCCAGCTACAATGTTTGTGTAATTAAAATACTGTATGTTGTCTTCCCTATCCCCCATGAGTATTGTTAGTCCAAATGTCATGAGTAACTGTAAATCGCTCTGAGCCCACAGGTGTGTGGGGAAAAGCAATCAATAAATAGAAATTATTATTATTATTATTATTTTCCATGGCGGAATGCCAGGAAAGCCGGCCGGGACAAGCTTGGGAGATCGAGCGCAAAAAATGATGAAGAAAAAGGGGTTGCAAGACCATCCATGAATGTGTCAAACGAGAATCGCTTTTTAAACAAAAAGACACTTCCCACCTAACGCGGCAGAAAGCGGGCGGGGGAGGGACGCCTCCCATGCACACAAACTGAAAGTGAAAAGGGAGGGGAACGGAAAAGTAAAAACGCGATTGCCCAGAAGTACTCACCCATCGATCGATGCAGATAAGCGCTTATTGCGAAAAGTAAACAAGCAGAAAAAAGATGGCGGGGAAGAGGGACAAGGACAAAGAGAGACTGTTAAAAGCGAAACCAGAGTCCCCGAGACCGGAAGGGACCAGTGAGGCTGCAAAGGCTATGACTGAAGTCATGCGCCCTCTGCTGGAACAGCTCAATGGTTTTAAAGAACAGATGATGGCAGTGACAGCAAATATAACAGCGCAGCAAAAACAGCTCCAAACTGTTACAACGAGCATCACTGCCCAGCAAGCGCAAATAATGGACTTGATCCAAGTAATTAAGCAGGATGCAGAGAAAGTAAAGGAAATGGCAGTGACAACACAGAAAGTGAGGAAGAAAGTGAAAAATTTGGAGAAGAAAACTGATTCACTGGAAGATCAGATGTTACAAGTTCAAATGGATAAGGCCAATATGGTCCTTCGCTTCCAGGGGGTGCCAGAGAATAGAGGGGAGAATCTTAAAGAACTCATGAGCGAACTACTCGCCCCAGTGACAGATATAAAAGCGGATTTATTGCTCAACGACATGGATGTGGCCTATAGGTCATATTCAGGATATATAAAGAAGAATAATCTGCCTGGGGAAATAGTAGTAAGATTCTCGAAGAGGCACGTCAGGGATGCTATCCTGAAAGCAGTTGCTGGGATCCCACTGAAGGTGGGAGAGAATTAAGTTAGAACGCTAAAGGATATTCCATTTGAAGTAAGACAACGTAGAAAGAAATACAAAGAACTTGTGTTCTTCCTCCAAACAAACTCAATTGGATATAAATGGCTGTTTCCAGAAGGAGTAACATTCAAGATCAAGGACAAAAAGATCAAGATTGACTCTGTTCTTAAAGCTAAAGAATTTCTAAATGAGCAGCTGGGAAGGCCAGAGGACAGAAAAAAATAAGAGGGCGATAGGTCCAGTGGAGAGCTGGAAACTGGTTCATCTGGTGAGGATTCTTTGTCGGAGAAAGGGGCGGCAGCCCCGAAAAGTCCCTACAAGTTACGGAAGAGAGAAAAAAAGAAGTAAAGGCTGAAG